TATTTTGTTTAAAATAATGTTATTTGCAGTCGCTCACTATCACAGTCGTCCTATGTGGTGTATATGTGACTTGAGTGAGTGCAAATAGCATTACTCTTTTCAAAAAGGTGTAAACGAGTCCAACTAAATTATTAAAAGGGTAATTAGCATATAATATCCATACCTTTCGTTATTATTGTAAAAATAATAATAATAATAATAATAAAATCACACTACCTTTCATTTTTTTTCGTCTTTTCATCCTCAATTACACATTTAATTATGCAATCTATCATTTTTATCCATTTTCTCAACAAAAGCTATGAAATAATGAATATACCCTTCTATTTAAGTAAAAAATGAATTTTTTTTTCATTTCTAATTTTTAAAATAATTTATTTGAGACTCATTTATACTTTTTATTTTTTTCATTTTTAATAATTTATTTGGTACTTGTTTGCAATTTTTTTAAACAAATTAATTTCTAATTTTTTAATAAATTATTTGAAACTCGTATGCTCTTCTTTTTTTTTTTTTTTTTTAATTATGGTTATCATTACAATTTGTTCTTTATTTTTTATTTTTTTATTTAAATATGAGGGTATATTCGTTGTTTCACAGTTTTTTATTAAGAAAATTGATTAAAATGATGGTTTGTGCAATCAAATGTGTAATTAAGGGTGAAAATGCCAATAAATAAAAGGTAATGATATTTTTCAAAATAACAATAAAATGTAGGGACATAATGTGCTAATTAACCTTTTGCTAATTTATTTTTGACTTGTTTGCACTTTTTTTTAAAAAATAAAATAAAATAAAATTTGGGACTATGATTGCAATTAATTTTTTTTTAAAATTTAAATAGGTGAGTATATTTGTCATTTCACAATTTTTAATTGAGAAAATTGATGAAAATAACATTTTTGCAATGAAAGGTGAAAAATAAGAGTAAAAATACCAAAAAATAAAAAGTAAGGATATTTTTCACAATAATAATAATGAAAGGTAAGAATGTTATCTACGAATTACCCATTAGAAAAATGCAAGATGCAAACTGCAAATTTTTCCATCTTCAAATGTCATCTTTGTGACGAATGTGGCGAGCAAATTGGACGACTTGGGCATCTTCAAAACTCATGGCTTGACCAAATACACAGCGATCCCCTTCAAACCCTCTTCCCTTTATATATATATATTATCAAAGCGTAAACTTGAAACCATGGAAGTGGAAAATATGAGCATAAAAATTACGGGTCAAGATAAAGAAGAAGATGTTTCAGTTTCACTTCCCGGATTTCGGTTTCATCCCACAGACGAAGAACTTGTCAATTTTTATCTTCAAAGGAAAGTTGAAGAGATACCAATTAGTGTTGAACTCATCCAACAAATGGATATCTACAAGTACGATCCATGGGATCTTCCAAGTATGTAATCATCTTCTTTCCCTTTTTTCATCTTCAATAATTTGCTTAATTTTGCATGAATAGTATCAGTTCAAGTAGATGCCCAAAAGGGGTTTCGATTTTTTATTGGTTCGTTTGTTAGGGAGAATTAGTGACGTTTTCCATTTTTGCTGGATAATCAGAAGCAAATAACATGGGAGACAAGGAGTGGTACTTCTTTTGCAAAAGAGGAAGAAAATATAGGAACAGCATTAGACCCAATAGAGTGACAGGTTCTGGGTTTTGGAAAGCCACTGGTATTGACAGACCAATATATTCTTCCGGTAGCGATGGCCGTGACTGCATTGGGCTGAAGAAATCTTTGGTGTACTATCGCGGAAGTGCCGGAAAAGGCACAAAAACCGACTGGCAGATGCATGAATTCCGTCTTCCGGCTGCTGTTCAAGATAAAAGCGGGAAAAATATTGATCAAGATGCTGTAAGAAAACCCTCAAATCTTAGGCCCCGTTCTCTTTACCGTTTTCGGGTCGTTTTTTGTTTTCGATTTTTCAAAACGGTGAAAACGTGTTCTCTTTCCCGTTTTCGAAAACGTTTTCGAAAACGAAAAAAATTTGTGAAGAAAACACAAAACGACTTTTTTGTCGTTTTGGGCGTTTTCAGTGTAAAACTTGAAAAAATTGAAAACGCGGGAAACACTTTTTTTTTTTTTTTTTTTTTTT